TAACAAATACGGAAAAAGACACGAAAAGCAAACATGGATCACTTACGGTCGAAGTTTCATTTTCCAAGAAATGAGGGGGCTATCTGTATATGGTTAAAACCGATTCTCGGTCATGAAGATCGATCGAGGATGGCATTTCAATTAAGGGGTATCTTCATGGAGACCCCGAACGAATTTCGAGATGGGGGCGTCGAGCTCGGGGCGTTCGAATCGACCGACATAACATCGATCGATACAGGTCCCGAACATCGATGCCCGAAAGTGATCACCTAGCTCGAAACCAAGGCCGAGGTTCCGATCCGATACCGAGCTCGAGTCGGTATCGAGTTCACAGACAAAAAGCTGTTATAACCGCACCAAAGGAGAGAATCTCTGCGGAAATTAAGGAGGAGACACACCATCATGGGTCCTCCACTAGTAATATTATTCCATCATGTTGCTATAGATAAAGTAGTGATCCTTGGCTATAAAAGGCAAGATAGATTGTAATAGAAGGCATCTTGGCTGGGATTAAGAATTCATTGTGTTTATCTTTCTAAAGCTCACTAAATATTTTTGTTCATCATCTTCTATTTTTGCACTATAAATACGTGTATTGTTATTTTCAGATCAAAGGAATCTACTTGCCCTTAGAACCATACATAAATTCAACGTTATCCGATTTTTCGGGTAAACAGTCACATCAACCTTTTTCTAGTATAATGAATAGTCGACATTATCTATATTCATCAAGCTTTTGCCCATAATGTTATAATACGTTCCCATGTTCATTATATGAGGTGACAATCTAAGTGAATTAGTTACTGGGAATTGGAACGTCACTTCCCTTATCCCTTTCCCCTAATTCTTTTTTGGTTTTATTGTCCAATATTCCAAAAATTTGGATTCTCATCCAGTAAACTTACTAAGAGTAAAGTGCTTTACCGGCCTATCTAATGGTGACAAAAAAAGAGAAAAAAAGGCAACCCGATGCACAAAGCGTCCTACGTTCACGCAGGGTTTGTGAAACGGCCGCGCCCCAGGGAAATGTGTTATAGATCGACAACCTACCATAATACAAGTATTAGTGACTGCTTACACATCTCGAACTCGTGACATATATATGGATTACACGGAGACAACTTTACCGTTCTAAGGCATGGCAAAAAGGAAAAAGATAATATATAGTAATTCAATAGGGATACCTTTAGAAGATCGAGGAGAACATTATCGAGGGACTCTTGAGCTTGTTGGGAGCAGAGAGATCTGAAAGAGTGGATGGCTTCAATAGCCTCTTCAGTTCGATGAAGTTGCTTCATGACCACACACATGTCTTTAAGGGCACTATCCACTCTGTCTCCTCCATTTATTGCCTTCCAAAACCATACTATTGCTGCTTCTGGCTCCTTCTCTACCAGCTGAAAATTAGGATATTGTATAATAGTTTTACAACGTTATTATTGTTTAATTTTTAATTTTTTCCACAAATGAGAAAACGATTAATGGATGAAAGAAATGGAAAAGGTAAGAAAAAGAACAAAACGACACGTAAAAGAGGAAAAGTGCTATCTCCGTCACATGGTTCACGTATTAAGACATGCATAGAAATTGTTAAAAAGAAACACTTTTTTTTGCTTCAAATTCGCTAATATATAATCGAAGAAGTCGCCGTAACTAGGAAGAGACGTCAAAACTCAAAACATCCATAAAAGGCACGGGGCGGTTCTAAGAATTTCTAACTCCATGAAATAACTAAAATTACACCTCAAGTATAAGCTAATTGTGGTCAGATGTGTGTATCCCTGTATATTTAAATCAGTCTTGATCAAATTTCTTTACGTCTTTAATGACATATAAATCTCTAACAAGACTAAAAGCTCATAGCAAACATTGAAGCTAAAGTGAACATAGCAACGATCAGGGGCGAAGCAATATATGTTGGCCCAGGGTGGTCAAATGAACATCCTTCGCCGAAAAATTATACTACGTATGAAGTAAAATATTACTTGCTATTGATTAAAAAATAGACTTTGAACACCCTTGCATATTGAATTTTCTGGTTTCGCTACTGGCAACGATGTATGGATCTTTTTCTTATATTGTGCTCTATTTCTCGCTAATTCCCAATTTATTACTAGAGATTGTGGGTGTTTCAACATAATTTCCTTCCATCTAATTTTAGGTGTACCTCGTCTCCTTTTTTTAACTCCTAAAGTTGCATAATAACAGATCGGTGGAGGTCGATATAGGACATAACAAGATTATCATCTCAGGCGATTTTAATTTATCCTCATACGTGATAAGTTTCAGTTTCTGCTGAGCATAAATCCTTTGAATATTTTCTAATATTGGAGCGATTATACATTTGAACATAGAGTATCGTGGAACTAATTTTCTTTTTTTAGGATTCAGCAAACTAAAATCATCTTCGCGTGCGCATATATTTGGACCTATTTATTACCAATATTCATCTAACTAGATATTTAATTACGATCTAAGAAAGCTATGTGGCTAGAATAGGATGCATTATTCTCGCAAGTTGTGTTCCATCTTTGGTAAAGAAATTAAGAAGGAGCAATAATAGAGGGGAAAGAAGAACAAAAAAAGACAAAAGAGAAAAATCCCTGGATCTCATGTTGAAACGGTGAACAATTTTGAGCATATATTTCAAGGAACGAAATTAATTTTGAGTTCATAATAAAGTACTAGATTTAGCAGCTTTGACCAAGCATTGGTTTTTTAGCTATTCATTCTCTCTTGGGTAAGTCAATCTTGCTCTCTCTTGTCGGTAACCATGAACGTGCAACTAAAATAGTTGAGCTAATTAATGACATTTTAGCCTTACTTCGGACCTACTAATTTGTTTAGTTTTCATGGGTGGATCTAACTGTTTTAGCCGTGGCGGCCTATAATACTCACTGACTCTAAATCATGAATCTGCATAATTTAGCTTGATGAAATACATTTACAGCAACAACGGATCGGATTACCAGATTACTGTCTCATTCTCTCTCTCTCTCTCTCTCTCTCTCTCTCTCTCTCTCTCTCTCTCTCTCTCTCTCTCTCTCTCTTTTTCCAATATATCAAGAAACCAGTTTGTAAGTTTCTTAAACCTGTTTAGTTCTGCAAACATAAGTAGAGTAATAACATATTTAAGGGGAAAATAAAAATAAAAAACCTGAGCATGCTTGGCCCGAACATAAGGGCCATCACCTGAAGGAACCTTATGAACAACATGAAAGAGCTCCTTGTTTTCTTTATTCTTCATCATTTCCATTTCTCTAATACAAGGGAATTAATTAAGGGAGTATAAAAGTTGAATCTGGAGACGAGATTCAGAAAACAGATAGAGAGATGCAGTTGTAGAAATGTACTTATATGAATATGAGTGGAACAGCAACTAGTAATGCATCATTGTTGAACCTAGACGAATATCCGTCTCTATTAGCTAACTAATAATTTTCTCTGCTTAGGTGTAGAGAGAGTATCAAGTGCCCACGTAAGATATGTCCCACATTTCTTTTATCTTCTCCCTCCCCCCTCATTAATTTATCCTCTCTTCCCCCTTTTATTGGGTGGTGGCAAGAAATGAACTTCTATGCACAAATAATATTTAGATACTAACTAACACACAAATAAAATAATCTGGTTGAAGAAAAACAATAAAAGAATTACATTTGGTTAAAACTAAAGAAACCGGGCAAAGAAAAGGAAGACATATATATGTGGAAGAGATGGCCCACGCGGGAATCGGATGTTCCTTAGGAGTATATTAAACAACTCCTTTTAAAAAACAAATTGTTCTTCACTTGTTTACGAACAAAGTTTTGTCACTAAATATTATGGTGGAATGATGTTTACCTGGGCAGTTCACACACACATGGCCCATTTACAATTGAGACAGATCCAACATGAGGCCCAACTACTTTAGTTACTTGTATTTACTTCAAAGTGGTTTGGATATATTTACTTCCTTAAAATTTGAAGGATATGCTAATGATTTAGCTGCATATTTTCTGTTGCAAGAAATTTCTAGTGGTTAATTACCTTTAACAAGAAAAGAAGAAAAAGAAATTTCTAGTGGTTAAGCTGAGGCCATTAATAGCAAATAGTAGCCTGGCAACTGCGCTGTCGAGCAATCATTTGGCTATGTTGTTTTACATTACTCCATATGTTTTGAGGATCACTTAGTTAAGCTATACTTCCTGTGCAATCCATTAGGTCAAAGGCTAGTGGCCTCCTTCCCTTTAACTTTATAGGAAACTTGGTAAAGGTTTATTTGCTCCAGTGGACTGAACCCTGTGAGGTGTTGTTACATCATTACACCTAATTGTTCCTTTACCTTCTTTCTGAACTTGCATTGCTGTTATTGTTTTTTTTTGTTCCATCTGAACATGAAATATTTAAGTGAAATTGTTGTCTTATTGCAGGCACAAGATTTCAGGACACAAGGAACAACAATGAGGAGGAAGATGTGGTTGCAGAACATGAAGATCAAGCTTATAGTCTTGGGAATTATTATCGCCTTGATTCTGATCATAGTTTTGTCAGTATGTGGTGGTTTCAATTGTCATTAGTGTGGTTCCTCATCCTTACTAGGCTGGATGTTGATTGAAAATTGTGACACTTAATCTTTGTAGCAGTGGCATGTCAGTTCCTTATAATTCTTTTTTTCTTTTGTTGTGACATCTTTTGTTCTATGCTCTGTATCATGAGACACTGCCTGTATAGCTTGTAATGCTGAATTCTTTTGAGTATACTATTGAATGAGTCTCCCTCGTTCACCAGGTCACACATAGTGATTCTTGATTTTGTTGGTTCTGAATTGGATGGAAAAGACTCTGAAACAAAGGAACCAGAGGAGAAATAATGTGAACTGTGTCTTTCTTTTCCTCCTCTCTATTTGAACGGGCTTCATTATTATGCTATCATTTTTTCTTGCGCTCCTTATATGTGAACTAGTTTAAATCTTGTGCTATGATTGGACTTTTAAAAGCTGTTTTGCAGGGAAAGTTAATAGCACACTTCAATTTTAAACGATAATGTGAGGGGCGCTTGTGATAAATTCACTATGGGTGATTTCATCATGTTTCTTCTATATTTTGTTGGTTTTTGTGTGGCTGCAAATATGCTTCTGTCGAGTGTGTTGAGAATTCGAAAGCCTTTTATTGATATCTCTGGCTTGTTTTGATTGAGAGATTGAGACAGCATTATCCTGTGGGCTTATTCCTTTATCCTTGAGTATGATTGTATGAACCATCTTGTATTGTGGAAAGGTGCCCGGACAGAATTCTAGAGCACTGCCTGTTGGTAATTCTTTATTTGGCTTGTGATATATCTTCTTTTATCTGACAAACTGTTCTAGACCGGTCCTTATATCCATGTTACTGCTAATTAAGGAACAAGATGTGAAATGCTCTAACTAGAGGGAGTAAGGTTTCTGTCTCTTTCAAACAACAAAATGTAACTGAACACTGTCGAACTTTGCACCTTGTACCAAACTATGGACATCAGTCTCTTTTTTTCTTGTTTGGGGTGCCATTTTCTGAAATGTGGTGGTAATAAATTTCTTTTGGAAAGGAATTTATTTTAGAAGTTTTAGCATTGTAGGACTTGATCCTGATGTACTTCAAATGCTACTTTACGTCAAGAAAGGGAGAAAATGGGCAGTAAAACGTCCACAACGAACAAATGATTTATTTACCCTGGGGGGGGGGGGTCGGTCCGGAGAATGATCAGACTTCTCGAAGAATCAGTAAAAAATATATGGTTCTAGTACTACTCAGCATGAATAAACTAGCTAAGTGATCCATATTCTACATGCAGTAGGAAAGATGATTCCTCCTCTTGAAGCCATTTCTTCTCCAGTTGGCTTCCTTTGAGAAAAGTCATTTTTAGATGGCTTTTACAAACTGCAAAAGCTTCTTGCAAACCAGGGACTTGTACTTCACCTCAGTTTTTTTTTATATTTGGTTATCGTATATTTGGTGGCTCCATCTCATATATTTATTTCCATGTTGTCAACGAGCCTGACCTTCCCAAACCATGCTGCTACACAAAATACAACTGGCCTCTTGATTGTTTCCACCGGCTCTAAACTTTCTTGCTCCACAATCTGATGCAGGAGAAGGTGTCACCAATGTAAAACAACATAACTAGACCAAGAAATTATTTGAAAAGATTTTTTTTTGTATTGATAACCTTTTATGTTGTTAAGCGAAAATATTATGGAACACTGGACAGATACTGTCACGGATAAAGCTTCTGAGACGCTAACCATACAAAATATTGCTTATACATCTCCGGGTTCAAGAGGAGAGTAAAGGAAACAGTGGTGTAACTTTTATGTCATTGGAATTTAAGTGGTGGAAAGGTAACTGGAGAGAGCTTTATCATGTTACTCACTCCTTAAAAAAGCCACTTTGACACACATCATGATTCATGACAGGTCAATAGTACTCGCAACTTACAGCTAGAGGACCTTGAAAGCACAATTGACAAGATTATACCATACTTCCTAAAGTAATTGAGACATTAGTTTTTGTTTAAGTTCTCACCTCAGCATAATCAACCCTTCCACCGGCTTCATCTATGGTTTGAATGGCTACATTTATCAGATCTCTGCAGCTTACCTGGCCCTTTTCTGCTTCAACTTTGGCTTTAGACAATGCGCGGCTAATTGACAAAGCCTGCAGCATAGCAGAAAGAGCAAAAAGTTTCAATTAGCACAAATGCCAGAAGATATTAACGAGAGAGCCTTGCCAGGTATATCAACTTTTGCATATGTATTGTCCTGGACATTTGATCTTCAATAAACTAATTTTTGCCATAAGCATATAGGGCAACAGAAAACCAAGTTTCCTTTTCGGTTCGTGCTCCTAGAATTGACCAGAGCAGTAAAAGAAGCAGGTTTATCATCATATTAAGAAATATGTGGCAGCAGAAGAAGCACCTTTTTTCTGTCCTCAGGCGAGAGTTTCACATTACGGGAACTCATTGCTAAGCCATCATGCTCTCTTACTATTTCAGAACCAATCACCATTATGCCAAAATCAAGATCTCGGACCTGAAACAGAATTACTTTGAGACTATCGATTAAAAATCACATCAGACTTCAGCTTTACGGTATACCACTTGATTAGACTAGCAAAGTAACAAAAATCAAGTAACTTTTCAATAACATTTCCCACCTAGCACTTCTATTTTCAGACGGGCAGATTTGGTAATATTGGATTGCTTTATCCACAAAAGGAAAAATCTCATTCGCACTTGTGTTTGCACCAAAACAACATATGCATAACATGCATCTTTTAACATAAAATTTTATCACTAAACTAAGGTTAAACATTACCTCAATTTGTGAGTAGTGCTTTTCTCAAAGTTAAATTTCATTAATTTGATAGAAACACCGAGCGCAACTAAGATCATCTACAAACCAATCCAACATTTCAAAACAAAACCAAGAGGAGCTTACCATTCTTTGAATAATCCTCCACTGCTGATAATCCTTCTTGCCAAGTACAGCAACATCAGGCTCAACAATATTGAACAACTTGGTGACAATAGTAGCAACCCCTCTAAAAAAAACAGGCCTACTCTTTCCACACAACCCTTTTTCCAAATTTTCAACTCTAACCCAAGTTTCATGCCCCATCCCTTTATCTTCAACACAAGATACCACCTTTAAACCCTCATTCTCTTTTTCATTAATCCTCTCAGCTGACCTAATTAGTCCCATTTCAGAATTCCCATAGTCATACAAATTCTTGGGGTGGAATACAACATCAACACCATTAGCAACAGACTTGAGTTTCTCAATATCGCCTTGAAAATCAGAAGGGTATGTTGAAAGATCTTCATTGGGTGAAAATTGACCTGGATTTACATAAATGGACACAACTATAAGGTCAGTGTGTTTTTGTGCTTCTTGCACTAGAGAAAGATGGCCCTCGTGGAGGTAACCCATTGTGGGTACAAAGCCAATTGTATGGTTTTGGGATCTCATGGTTCTTGTCCATTTTCTCATCTCTTCCTTGTCTGTGATGATGATTGGTTCTTTACCTGCCATTTTCAATTAGTATTGTGGATGATTTTTGCTTGATTGTGTTTATTGGAGCTGTCCAGTTGGAGTAATTAATTGACCAAGATTTTGACCGACTATATTTATGCCGATCGATTCTATGTATAACTATAGGATTGTTTGGGAAGGTTATAAGATGGACAGCCGCCAATAGGTGGTACTCAGCAAGTTTCAGGTGAAGAATTTGCTTTATGTCAACGATTGAACTTTCCTAAAAAGGATAATTTGGTAAAAGTGGGCCGATGGATTAGACCGAGATATAGATCACACTATGAGGATGTGCCCGGCGGCTAATAGATTCGCATCATAAATTCATAATTAGGAAATATATATATATATTTAGAGCTTGTAAATAGCAGATCTAACTTGAAGTAATGAAATTGATTTTTTAATTAAATATTTATATATTTGGATAGACGTGCTGAAACTGATAATAAACAGTCAATATATTTAACAGAAAAATGCGGATAAACTGTTCTTTTATTAAAATGACTAAAATACCTTTAAATTTTTTTTTATAAAAGATTATAAATTAAAAAATTTCTTTGTAAAGAAAAGGATGAACAACGAATATGCAATGGCGAGAAAGTTCGGAAATTTATTTTGGGAAAAGTATTTTGTGAATTGAAAAATATTTTTAAGGATAAACTAGTAAAAATCTTGGTCAAACTAAAAGTTTATAAGCCGAAAAACCATAAGTTGGGTGTGATCAACTTATGACTGATTTTAGCTTATAAGCACTTGACTGATAAGCACTTTGACTGTTTGACATATACGCAAATAAGTCAAAAGGTACTTATAAGCCAGTTGACCAGCTTATAAGTTTAGCTAAACACCCTCATAGTTGTTCGCGACGAATTGAGAATATGTAAATTAAACGGCTGCAATTACAAACAAATATAATGAGAGGTAATTTTATTAATATAGGGAATGTGAGTACAAATTGTGTATCATTTAATTCTTTTCTCCAAATTATTTTGTTTTGATTGGAGGGCCGAAATAGTGTGATTCTCAAGTAACGATGACGTCGACTTCTTCGTGGTGTATATGTATCTGATGTTCGAGAAAGTCGTGTAAAGCTTGAGTTGAGGTAAATAATTTATGCATTTTCTGACTAGAAAAATTCTTCAGAAGAAACAATATACACTTTCCACAAAAGGTCGAAAAAGAAATGAATGAATGTATTGCATTGTTAAAGAAGGGTTTGTTTGAGAGAGTTGAAACTCTATGAAAGATAGCACACCCATTTAACAGTTAACTCAGAGTAGTTTATTATCATCAAGGGGGGTCCAGGGGTGTGGTAAGATGATTAGAGTTTCAGTATTTTAACTAGAGACTAGAGATTTCAACGTAGGACTTTGAGTAAGGAGTGTTTTAAAGGAGCAACGAAAAGTAGAGCAATTCATTTCCCCAAACTGTTTCCAAAGATCTCATTTACATCACAATTTACACAGATCACAGCTCTTAGCTTATTTATTTTCACCTAACTTGAATGACTAATAAATATATTTCAATCCTACCCAAATCATTTGAATATTGACAAATATTGGTAGAGATCTCCTCAAATATTGGTAGTCTTCTTGATTTTGAAGGGGCCATTCATTTATAAGCTGTTCAAGCCCATTCATGAAGTCTCCATCCAGGTTTTGCAAGAATGGTGGAGGTTGGCTCGAGTCCAATTCCAACACCAATTCATCCACACGACTCTTTGTCTTTGGATCTTCAGAGCCCGCATAATTGCATCTTCAAGAATATTTCGGGCCTCATCTTCAAGCTGTAGTTAATTGCTTAATGCTTTGACATTTAAGTCAAGGGAATATTTTAGATTAAAGAAGAAAGTAAAAGGTAGTAGTATAATTAATTACCACAACTCTAGCTCACTGGCTGTCTCTTGCCTGACAGAAACCTGAAACTTCTTCCCATGAGAGCGAGCAGTTTTTGTAGGTCTACCATTGAAGAACTGCCCTTGGTATATCTGTCTCAACTTTTGTTTCAACAGCGCTATTTGTTCATCTACTTTTCCACATTTCTGCATACATTACATTACAATTAGTCCATATATATAATATTGTTGGTGTAATTCATTCCATGTCTATGAGCAAACTCCAGTCTCGTGTATCAATTGTCACATGAACCTTTTTAGTATAATCAATAGTCGACTTTACCTATTCATCAAACTTGTGCACATATTATACGTACAAGCCTATGAGGTGACAACATAATTTAACTGAAATAGTGATTGGAAATTGGAAACACACTTTGTGAAATGTTAGTGAAATGTTCAATCTCCGTATTGTATACGGTCGAAATCGGGCATACCCGATTTCGTTGGCAGGGGAGTTACCTCGAGGGTAATCTCATAATAGATTGGGCTCGAGCTCGAAGATAGAACATCACGCCTGGAGATCGAAGTGTTTATCGAGATCGAGGCTAGCAATAATCGAGATCGAGCATGACTGACTTTGAGTAAGGCGTAATAACGGAATAGCGGGATATCAGTAACCGGTCGAAAGTCATGGCGGAAATCCCGAAACAGATCAAATCAAAGCGGTTACTAGCGCCAATCATGGGATCTACTTCCGTTATTAGAGTTGTACCTTATTTAGAATTCCTCTATTATATAAAGAGGGATCTCATTCACTTGTAGGACACCATCATTATTCACTGATAAGAATATACATATACATTATTTTCTTTGTTCATCATTGTTCATCGCTGTTTGTTCTATTCTCTATTGTTATTATTAACTAACCTCGAGACTATCTCGAATCGAGGTCAAGGCATCATTTGCAGACCGGTTTGATTTATTTTATTGTCCAATTTATCTATTTAATTCGTTGCTTATCAATTGGTGCTGGTTTAAATCACATATCCTTAAAACCACAATATAAGTTTAATTGTTACTCAATTTTTAGGGTAAAGAGTTTGGCGCCCACCGAGGGGCTAAGGATAATAGTGATTGTTCAGTACTGATTCTGGTAAAACACACTATTTTATGCTTGTTCTTGTCAAGTATCTTTGTTTTCAGGTTAAAACATGTCAAACTCACAAAACGCATCCACACACGGTGACAATGGCCTCGGATTCCACGGTGAAACGAAAATGTGATTGCTCCAGGAGTCGAGGTGCCACAAGCTAATCTCGGGGAAGCACCGGTTGCCAACCCGGTCAATGTCAGTTCGCACGTTGCTCTAAATGCGGACCTAGGCGCAAGTCTCGATGGGAGCGTACGCAAAGAAGGTCGATCTAGTGACCAAGGAACACATGGCAGATGAGACGAAGGAGTCAGTCTCCAAGTGATATTCGAGATGCTTCAGGCTCAGCAAGCCGCTACTGCTTAGTTACAAAATCAACATAGAGCTCCGAATAGGGTCGAGTCGGAAATTACTCGCTGTATCGAACCAGTACCGGAAAGGTCGAATGGTAACGAATCTGGGACTAATCCTGCGGTAATGAAAATGCTCGAGGAGCTCACCAAAAGAATTGAATCAGAAAAGAAGAGAATCGAAGCCAACGATAAAAAAAATGGAGACATACAACTCTCGAGTTGACCAGATACCGGGAGCACCGCCAATCTTGAAAGGGATGGATTCGAAGAAGTTTGTACAAAAGCCGTTTCCTCCAAGTGCGGCTCCGAAGCCTATTCCAAAAAGGTTCCGTATGCCAGACATACCCAAATATAATGGGACCACCGATCCTAACGAGCATGTTACTTCATATACATGCGCCATCAAGGGTAACGATTTAGAAGATGATGAAATCGAATCTGTGCTGTTGAAAAAATTCGGAGAGACCCTTTCGAAGGGAGCAATGATTTGGTATCACAACCTGCCGCCAAATTCCATTGACTCATTTGCTATGTTAGCGGATTCTTTCATAAAGGCACACGCCGGGGCCATAAAGGTCGCAATGAGGAAATCAAACCTTTTCAAGGTAAGACAAAGGGATAATGAAATGCTGAGGGAGTTCGTGTTCCGATTTCAAATGGAACGCATGGAGTTGCCACCGGTCACAGATGATTGGACTGTTCAAGCTTTTACCCAAGGGTTGAACGAGCGGAGTTCGATAGAATCACGTCAGTTGAAGCAAAATTTGATCGAGTATCCAGCTGTAACTTGGGCAGATGTGCTCAATCGATATCAATCGAAGATCAGGGTCGAGGATGACCAATTAGGAGCCCCTTCCGGTTCAGTACATCCAAACAGGTCGGCAGTTAAAAACCAAAGGGATGTTGACAGGGAACCAAGATCGAACAGAGACCGATATCAACCATATACAGCAAATCGAAGGAACAATGGTTCAGGATGCAATTCCGCCCGGAACGATCGACGAAGTGATCGAGGACAGAATTCTCGGGGACTTATGGGCAAAAGTGGTTTTGACAAGTATGCCGATCCCACAGAGGCACCTCGGTTATCGGAATATAACTTTAGCATCGATGCATCGGGCATTGTATCGGCAATCGGAAGGATCAAAGATACTAGGTGGCCCAGACCCATACAAACCGATCCTTCCCAAAGAAACCCAAATTTGATGTGCAAGTATCATGGCATGCATGGTCACAAGACCGAGGATTGCAGGCAATTAAGGGAGGAGGTAGCCCGTCTATTCAATGAGGGCTACCTTTGAGAGTTCCTCAGCGATCGAGCCAAGAATCATTTCAGAGAAAGGGACGCCAATAGGAAAAATGAACAGGAGGAACCCCAACATATCATTCACATGATCGTCGGTGGGGTCGACATCCCACAGAGACCTATATTTAAACGCACTAACCTATCAATCACTAGGGAAAAACGAACACGAGATTATGTGCCCGAAGGCGCTTTATCATTCAATGACGAAGAAGCAGAAGGCATTTCTCAGCCCCACAATGACACTCTGGTAATTTCTATCTTTTTAAATAAAGTTCAAGTTAAGCGTGTTTTGGTGGATCCAGGTAGCTAGGCGAATATCATCCGATCGAGGGTTGTGGATCAGCTCGGCCTACAAAATCAAATCGTGCCGCAACTCGGGTCTTAAACGGCTTCAATATGGCCAGTGAAATAACTAAAGGGGAGATTATTCTACCGGTGAACGTGGATGGAACCATTCAAGATACCAAGTTCCACGTAATCGAGGGCGACATGAGGTACAATGCCCTATTCGGAAGGCCTTGGACCCACAATATGAGGGTAGTCCCTTCGACTCTCCACCAAATGACGAAATTCCCGACATCGGCCGGTGTAAAAATAGTATACGGGGAGCAGCATGCCGTAAAGGAAATGTTTGCGATAGATGAGGTAAC